GCGAAGTTATTTTGACCACGAAAATTTGGCTCTTCTGGTGTAGAAAAGAGACCAGTAGCTACAACAACTAAATCGAATTGTAATGTTTCATGATCACCACTCGCTGTTTCAACTTTAATAATCCAAGGAAGATTACCATTTTTTAAATCATTTTTATCAATTAATATAATTTTTGTTTCAAATCGAATTCGTTCGATAAGATGAAATTTTTCAGCATATCGTTTTAGATAATTATGAATATTTTCCCATGGAGCACAATCCATAGCTATAATATACAAATCGAGAATATATAAAAACATTATTTATTATAACAATAACTATTTTACCTTCTGTATCATGTAGATTAGAAAATTCCATTAAATTTGCTATTGTTTGAGTATGTTGATGAACATACGCCCAATCTGGAGACCAAATACCACCTAATGTTTTATGTCGATCAAATATAGTAATATCAAAACCATCTTCTAAAAGAACTTTTCCTGCTGCAAGTCCTGAAACACCTGCTCCAATGATAGCAACACTTTTTCTTGCCATTGTATATCGACTCACGTTAATCAGAAACGTGTAACCAAATGGATATGTTTCGTTCTGTAGACAAGACGAAAAGAAAAAAAAATAAACCGATCGATACGCAACATAATGAGACACACCATCGGCTTAAATATACGATATATATGATGAGTCATTTATCTTTATTTAGATATGATGTAAATTAAGGTATTCAAGTAAAAAAAAACACACGTAATGACCGATGTTGTTTCTCCAATTTATTTCTACCAAATCAACCGTAATATAATTTTCATTTGAAAAATATTAACAGAATGTTCGCTGACAACATTTCAAGATATACTCATTTTATTGGATTACTTTTCTCATTTTATAATAAATTAAAATAATGAGAGAATATGTTTTTTATTTATGATTTACACATAGGATTATATAAAATCCTATGTCTTTATTAGTATTTTATTTATCTGAACTCACTATGGATGTATACTCTCACTCTATATCAACATCTTGACAAATGTACATCTCTTTTTAAATATTTGAGAATATACATTGATGAAAAACTATCATTCAAAGCTCGAATACTCGCCACTAACAGCTGCAACAAGAGGTCAATGATTCTAATGTCGCTTCATTGACAAAGTGCAAACAGTCTTATCTGCACTCTTTGAACATTACATTCTCACAAAACCAATGCCTATGTACCTATAAAAATACATATAGTAGAAAACTACTTGATTGTTGTCCTGCCAATTATACCTTATAATGAATTTCTTTCAAAAGAGCTCATTGTATATAACATTAATTAATATATAATTGATTCCGCTGAACTATATCTGTTGGAATAGATTAAAAATTGTTATTTCGCATAATAAAATACAAATACATGCAGATCTATGCTACAAACAGAAATATGTTGGATATGTTAAGTATAATACTTTTATTTTTTTCCTGAATTTACGACAGACAATATAGCTTTACATGTCGATACCAAAGCATATTAATTGAAGTACAACACAAAAAAAGACTTCTATTAAGATAATATTATCTACAATAGCTAAAGTTATTTCTTGCAGTATTTATTATGATATATTCGCATGGACCACTTGCTTATTAATAGAACCATTTAGTTTATTTGCTCGTTTTTCTCGTCGATATCGTTCTAATTCTTCATGTGTCATATCAATACCAAAACAATATTTTAATATATCCATTATTACAACAAATATTGCAACAATTGCCATAGCAGTAATTGCAATATAAGCAAATGACTTTGAAATTATTTTATGAATAACAGTTTTTCTTGCAGTAAACTCACAATGAGAGCCATAATAACTCGTACCAAGACACTCACATTTATAACCTAATAATAATGGTCGACAAATCCCTTTATTCTTACATACTACACCTTCGCAAAAATTAACCATTGATTCACAATGAGTACCTTGCCAACCATTTTTACATACACAATGAACTGTTGTGTTCGATGTTTCATTACACGTACCTATAATGAAAAATAATTATTTCTAAAGTAGAAGAATACTGCAAATAATACATACCATTATGTAAACATAAATGTGGTCTACAGATTCGCTGATCAAGTTCACAATGAGTGCCATTGAAACCCGATGGACATGAACATATATATCCATAAGTTGCCGTTTCATTGTCTGTACATGTACCATGATTTTCACATGGAGTTATCATCTTACATGGAGTATTTGAGATATTGCAACTGAGACCAATAAACGTCGAATCAGTGCAGGGTTCTGGAACGAAAACTAATGATGAACCATTCACTAAATTTAGAAAACGATAAAGTGATAAATTTAATGTTTTAAAATAACCTCACTTAGATATTGTAATTCAGGTGTAATTTTAGTTGTTGTTGAAGTAAATGTTGTCAACGAAGTTATATCTATTCAGATGAGAAACAATATTTCTTTATAAAAATATTAAGTACATTGAGGAATGTTTACTTGATAAAGTAATCGTTGATGTTGTTTCTAAAAGAAAGGATTCGTATAAATTTCAGTAAAGAATTAGATACTTCAACGAAGCAGAGAAATAAAATAGACAACGAACATAGACGATAGACTTAAGAATATTAAAAGTCGTCTTGAAATAGATCTTTTGACAGTCATTCAAAAGAAGCAACTACATACAACTTCTGCTCATACATAAAATCTACATATTCCAACTAATGTTTCTTGAAAACTATGAGGCATTGAAAAATTGCATCTTCAAGACTCAGTATCAGTTATACTCAGCTGCTTAGTTAAAATCTCTTCTGCATTTGGAAAACATTAAAAATTCGTAATCGTATCACAAGCCTTTTTCCTTTAGTATATTTGCAATACTCGAGTAGGACGTAAACCTGAACAAAGTATTTGGTGAACTATCTTCTTCAAATATAACTCAGTTGTCGGAAACAGAAAAAATAGTTATACGTACCGTTGCCCTGAGTCGTTACCGTAGTTGACGTTTGCTTTACTGGACCTGACGATGTCTTCCATGTTGCTTCCGATAATGCTTCTTGTGGTTCTGCTGCTGCTGCTGATGATGTTGTTGTGTTTGTTGTTGTTGAGACTGGTGATGTTCTGTTTGTTGTCGACGACGATGATGATGTTGCTGTATTTGTCGTTGCTGAGGCTGATAATGTTGTGTTTGTTGCCGATGCTGGTGATGATGTTGGTGTGTTTGTTGCTGAGACTGGCGATGTTGTGTTTGTTGTTGATGATGATGATGATGTTGCTATGTTTATTGTTGCTGAGACTGGCGATGTAATGATTGTTGTCGATGCTGGTGATGACGTTGTTGTGCTTGTTGCTGAGACGGACGATGTTGTGTTTGTTGCCGATGCTGGTGATGTTTCTTGCGCTGAGCTTAACGATGCTTCCTGTGCTGACGTTGATGATATTTGCGAGGTTGATGTTGGCGCTGTTTCTTGTCCTACTACTGATGGATCTCCTTGCGATGATGTTTCTGATGCTGATGCTGATGGTTCTTGGGCTGTCGATGTTGATGATCTCACCGTTGCTGACGTTGATGATACTTCTTCTCGTGATGCTGATGATGCTTCATGCGTTATTGTTGATGTTTTCAGCGGTGTTGATCTTACCGATATTTCTTCTCCAGGTGCAAATGATGCTTCCAGCGTGGATGATCTTAGTGGTGTTGATGTTGCCGATATTTCTTGTACTGATGAAGATGATGCTTCCAGCGTTGCAAATGTTAGCGATGTTGATGTTGGCGATATGTCCGATACGGATGCCGATGGTGCTTGTTGTGATAGTGGTGAGGTTGATGACATATGTGGTTTTATTGGTGAAGGTTGCGGTTGTGAATGACCTGATATTGGTGATATTTCTGTTACCGATGCTGTTGGTGTTGATGACACGTTGAGTATTGCTGCTGATGGTAGTGATGGTGTTAGTGAGATTTCTGACACTGACGGTGTTTGTTGTGAGGGTGCGGAAGTCGATCTTGGCTGTGGCGACCGTGTTGGTGATACTTCTTCTAGTGATAACGAGGGTGCTTTTTGTGTTGATGTTGATGATGTCCGTGGTGCCGATGTTCGCGAGGCTTGTTGTGGTACTGCTTCTTGTGCTGACGTTGCTAATGCTTGTTGTGTTGATGTTGTTTGTGGTCCTGATGTGTGCAATATCTCTTGTTTTGGAATTGACGATGTTTCTTGTGTTGGTTTTGGCCATGGCTTCGGTGCTAATGTTTCTTTTGTTGAGGGTGATGATCCTTCTTGTGGTGGTCTCGGAGGTATCTGTAGTGCCGAGGTTGATGATGCTTGTAGTATTGGTGTTAATGGTGTCTGTGGCGCTGATGTTTTTGACGTTTTTTGTGCTGACGTTGATGATACCTGTGCGGCTGATGTTGGTGATGCTCGTTGAACAGATGTTGATGATATATGTTCCTCTGGTATTCGTGATGCAGACTGTGCTAGTGTTGATGATATTCGCGAGGCTGATGTTGATGATCTCTTCGAGACTGATGTTGGTAATGAGTCTTGTGTTAGTAATGTCTGCGGGTGTGATATTTCTGATGCTGACGATGTCTCCAGCGCTGATCTAGGTGATGTATATTGTGCTGATGATGATGATGCTTGTTCATCTGATGTTAATGATGTCTGCGAGGCTGATACTGGCGATGTCCGCGGGACTGATGTTGATGATGTCTCTTCCACCGATCCTGATGATCCCTGTTGTGAAGGTATTACTAATGGCTGCGGGTCTGAAGTTGATGATATTTGCGGGACTAATGTTGATGACGTTTCTTGCACTGGCATCGATGATTCTTGTTGTGCTGATGTTGGTGATATATATGGGACTGACGCTGGCGATGTTTCTCCTACTGCTGATCCTGATGGTCTTGGTGACGTCGATGCTGATGATCTTGCAGGTGTTGATGTTGACGATTGTTCTTGTGCTACTGTTGATGGATCTTGTTCCGATGATGTTGATGATCTCTGCGGTGCTGATGTTGACGATATTTCTGATTCTGATGTTGCTGATGTTCGTGACGTCGATGTTGACGATCTAAGCGTTGCTGATGTTGGCGATATCTCTGATGCTGATCCTGCTGGTTCTTGGGCCGTCGATGTTCTTGATCTCAACGTTGCTGATGCTGGCGATATTTCTGATTCTGATGCTGCTGCGCCTTCAGGCGTCGATGTTGAAGATATTTCTGATTCTGATGGTCCTGGTGACATTGATATTGACGATCTCACCGCTGTTGATGTTGACGATATCTCTGATGCTGATCCTGCTGGTTGTTGCGCCGTCGATGTTGATGATCTCGGTGCTGCTGATGTAAGTGGTATTTCTTGCGCAGTTGCATACGATACTTGTTGCGATGGTATCGATGTTCTCAGCGGTTCTAGTGTTTGTAGTGGTTCTTGTGTTGCTCTCGATGATGTCTGCCCGGATGACATTGTTGTTGCATCTTGTCTTCGTTGCGGCGGCGTACACGTTGCTAATGTTGATACTGTGTCTTGTTCCGAGGTTGATAGTCCTTCGTGTGCTGCCCTTGTTGATGGCTTCGATGTTGATGTTAATGATGGAAGTTGTTCTGAATTAGATAATTCATCCTGTGCTGCACTTGTTGACGTCTTCGGTGTTGATGTTGAAGATGGAACTTGTTCTGAGTTTGACAATCCTTCTGCTGGTGGTCGTAGTGTTGTCTTCGGTGTTGATGTTGATGATGGATCTTGTTCCAACGTAGATGATTCTTCGTATGCTGCACGTGTTGATAGCTTCGGCGTTACTTTTGACGGATCTTGTTGTAAGGTTGATGATCCTACCTGGGTTGGCCTTGGTGGCGTGTTTTGGCCTGATTTCGATGAAGTTTGTTGTGCTGATACTGATAGTTCTTGCTGGGCTGACGTTGAGGATGTTGGTAGCACTGGGGTTGATGCTGCTTGTTCTATTGGTGTTGATGATGTCTCTCGTAGTGATGTTGATAATCTTTGTTGTATATATGTTACCAATGCGTCTTGTACCGGTGTTAATAGCGCCTCTGATGCTGAGATTGGTGATGTTTTTTGTGGTGATGTTCTTGCCGGTGATGATAATGATGAAGATGATGTGGTTGTTGTTGATCCCGGTGTCGTTGATGTTTCTACGGTTTCTGTTGTGGATGTTGGGGTTATTCTGGATGTTGTTTCCGTAACAGTTGTTGTCGATGTTATTTCTGCCAGCGTTGTTGTTGCTCTTCCTGGCAATATTGTTGATGTTGTTCCTGCTGCTGTTGTTGTTCTTTCTGCATTTGTCGTCGTCGATATTGTTTCTGTCGCTGTTCTTGATGTTGTTACAACCGTCGCTGTTGTTGTTCTTGCTGTTGTTGTTGTCGATATTACTTCTGTCGATGTTGATGTTGTTTCTGCAGTTTCCGCTGTTGTTGCTCTCGTTTCCGTTGTTTGTGTTTCTGTAGTTGTTGATGTTTTTGAGGATGTTATTTCTCTTGACGCTGTTGTTTCTGCTGTTGATGTTGTGGTTAACCCTGTCGACATTTCTGCTGCTGTCTCAGTTGTTATTTTAGGTGTTGTTGTTGTTGTTATTTCAGGTGTTGTTCTTGTTGTTGCTGGTGTAGTTGTGGTTGTCTCAGTTGTTATTTCAGGTGTCGCTCTAGTTGTCTCAGTTGTTATTTCAGGTGTTGTTGTAGTTGTAGTTGTCTCACTTGTTCTTTCTGGTGTTATTTTTGTTGTCGTCTCTGTTGTTGTAGTT